GATAGGGTTCATCGCAATTGCCGGCTCTTCTCTCCACCTAACGAGACAAGTGAGATATAAGGTGAAGGAGGATTGCCTTGTTTGCAGGGAACACGTCATCTAGCAACGTGTACCCGTCTTGCTCACCGGCCCGCAGCGGCATGGACGTGCTCTGTCCAGTGACGGATGTGATGACAGATCGTCGGAGGGATGCGAGGGCAGGAAAATGGGTGTTTTATGGGGAGCCACTGACCCGTGTGATTATTACCATGTGAAATTAGAGAGAGTGTGTTCACGCCTGCATGTGTGCGCGTGTATGGTTTTTAGATGGTGCAGCTCAGCTGTGTGTATCCATGCCCACACGCTGCCGATTGAAGTTGATACCCAATCTCCATCTGTACCCCGGGAGCCCATGTTAAGCTGAACACCAAACATCTCCTTCCCCTGTAAATGCTCATAACTGCACTCCGGCGTTTCACTTGTATAGTTGTCCCTTAACAAAAAGCTGTAGCATCCCTGCAACATTTTCTTTTGATAGGTCATTTTCCGATGACATATAATTCATTCTCTACTCAGGCTCTTTTTTTCCCAAAGAAATCATCGAGCTCCTGTTAATCTCTGTGCTCCCCCCGGGAGTTTGGATAACTTGCAGAAAACTTCCTTCCCGTCTCCTTTATCGAAGATAGAGGGTTTCTCTGGTCATAATAAATTCCAAATGTGGCTGATCTTTCAAAGCTCATTTCTTGAGGGTCCCCATTACTTTTGGCCCCGGCCATTCCCCAGTTTTACATCACTTCATTGCTAAAATTATTTGATTTATCGCATAGCGTGCCTTCTCGCGTTGGCTCTGGTCCTGGGAACCATTCCTGATGCCTCCGAGTGACTGGGAGATGAAAATGTTAAATTATGAATGAATCTAGACGGAAATCCTGAGCAGGGGCATTTAACATGTGCATGTTTTGCTTTGGGTTCATTTTCAATTATATGTGCCTCAGAGTCATACATACGTACGGCCGATAAATCCCCAGCAAGCTGACTGAAAGAGTGCCGGGAGTGTGCATGAGAAGGAAAACATGCAGGCTTTGGTTTGCGCAATCACTGATTATCCAAATCAAAACTTAATTACCGATTTAAGCACGAAAAAAGCAAACAAACAAACACGCAGAAACAATCAGTACAGGGTTCAAAAGTGCAGCATTCCCATTTTGTTTTCACTTGATCGGTTCCCGGGTAGCTCGTTCTCATGCTGTCTCGATAAGAGTGTAGTTGGGATTTTCCCTTCATGTTTAAATATGTATAATTCTGATAAGATTAATGGGACTGCCTAAGTAAACAGACCCAGGAGATATGCTGAGAACAACCTTTCTGTATGTCTGACATATAGACCCACCTGAAAAAATTGTTTTAATATAAATATTATTAACCTTTAACAGAAAAACTTCGCCTGACTCAGACGCTCCTTGAGACGATCAGATCGCCTGGTTCTATGTCGTTCTTCCGTGTAGTAGTTCTCCGACACCTCCATGCAAGTATATGTTTGTGATGTGTCTCATATTCTAGCCATTTGGCCTCCTGCTTTGGCCATAAGTGTATGTAAAGCCAAGTTTAATGAGTGTGTGTGAGAGTTTCCAAATAAGCCGTTTCATTTAATAGCTAAAAAGACAATAGAAAAACAATTCATTAATCTTTAATAGTAATGGAGCCATAGTCAACGGAACGCATCTGTAATGTTGTGGTGACAAACTGCACTCATATGTATGTGCAACATGTACTGGTGTAGGTGGCACGGTGGCTCAGTGGGTCGTACTGTCACCTCACGCCTCTAGCGCTGGGGGCTGGAATCCCACCCCCGCTCTCTGAGTACGTCGCATGTTCTCGCCATGTTGTGCGGGTTTCCTTCAGGTGCTGCTGACTCTTCCCACAAATTGGCGTCTCTAAATAGCCCTTTGTGTGTATGTGGGTGATGCCCTGTGATAGAATGGCATCCCGTACTGGGTAGGTGGATGACCGGGCACACCACTGTGATCGCGCTACCTGGCCAAAAATTATCATGCTTTGGACATATACATTTGGTGCAGAAGTGCTCAGACCACTCGGGTGGTACCTCATTTCATTAAACGCCGCACCATAGGAAACTGCTAGCTGTTGTAATTTAAGTGTGTGTGTG